AGTGGGGTCCCTCAGGGATCAATACTGGGCCCAACGCTATTTATTATCTTCATCAGCGATCTAGATGTTAGGATCAGGAGCTCTCTGATGAAGTTTGCTAATGACACCAAAATGAGTGGGGTAGTTGACACTCCAGAAGGGAGAGGCACCCTCCAGGAAGACCTGGACAGACTGGATGAGTGGGCTAGCAGGAACAGTATGAGGTTCAACACGGACAAATGTAAGGTGTTGTATCTGGGAATACCTCATCCAACAATGCAGCTGAGACTGGGTTCCACCTGGCTTGAGACCAGCCCTGTGAAAGGGACCTGGGGGTCTTGGTGGATGACAAGCTCAACATGAGCGAACAGTGTGCTGCAGCTGTAAAGAAAGCAAATGGGATGCTGGATTGCATTAAAAGGGCATCACCAGCAGAGATAAAGATTAACCCTTTCTTCTTGACACTGGTCAGACCACACTTTGAGTGCTGTGTCCAGTTTTGGTCCCCGCTATACAAAAAAGATGCAAACAGGTTGGAAGGGGTCCAGAGAAAGCTCATGAGGATGATCAGAGGACTGGAAGACCTGCTGTATGAAGAAAGGCTGAGAAAACTCTGCCTGTTCAGCCTTGGGAAGAGAAGGCTTAGGGGGGACCTTTTCACCATGGACCAGTACATAAAGGGTGGCTACCAAGAAGATGGAGACTTCCTTTTCAAAAGGAGTCACACAGAAAAGATGAGGGGTAGTGGACATAAGTTGCTTCTGGAGAGATTCTGACTGAACTCCAGAAGAAATTTTTTTACCATGAGATCAATCAGACAGTGGAACAATCTCCCAGGGGAAGTGGTAAATTCCCCTACACTGGTCAGTTTTAAGAGTCAGCTTCACAGGGTGCTGACTCATCTCATTTAAACTATACTTTCACCTCGAGATGTTGGACTGGATGATCCTCATGGTCCCTTCCAACCTGGTATTCTAGGATTATAAAAAAGTCTACAAGAGCAGTATCATACACATTTTGACAAAAGCTTCCTGCTCTGTAGCAGCCCTCAAACCTGCTCTCTTTGGAAAGCTTTACCTCCTTTTTCTCTGCAACTGGAATGTAATCACAGTAAGTGTTTCTGTCGAGTAAGCCCCCAACGAAGTTTTAGTCATCAAGGCAGCGTTAATTTAAAACAAAATGGAATACATAGAAACATCATTGTAAAAGAACCTGAGGGAAGTTTCACTGATGAACATAAAACATAGTAGGAAACACTTCATACTAAAACGAGACTATGAAAACTTCCTGAAAACTGCATCATAAAGTAAAAGCATCAGATGTAGAGCCTAGAAAACAAGTTTTCCACCTTGCATCATTTTTAAGAGATCTGTATTACATAAACTGTTACCAGATGCTTCATCTTTCTAAGTTAATATACCCCCCTCTGCTCTTAATAAAATATTAGTCTTCCTGTAATTTAATAGATATTTTATTTGTTTTCAGTTGGCAACTTTGCAAATAGCTAAAACTGCAAGAAAAATGTGACCTTGAAAATACAACATAGCTATGCTCTGATCAATACGGGGTAAAGCGACATGTATCTAATTTACCTACATAGGTAGTTTTAGCTCCTCAGAAATACAATTAAGGCAGAAATAGAAGCTGGCGTGATTCCCAGTCAGAACCTGCAATGGCAGCATTGACCGTGAACTTCCCTTTCTCCTTCCCACTGCTCCAAAAACATCGTTCATTTTGTAATAAGCAAATTACATTACAATCACTTAATGTTTTGCCACTTTTTGTAGATTTAATTTTTTTTCCTGCTTCTGTATTCAACAAAGAAAAATAAAGGCTAGGTCAGAATTTGCCAGTCCCACCTTTTTCTTCTGAGATACGTATTGGTGTATATATGCACATATGTTTTCTTAAGCTCAGCAATGGAGATGTCTAGATGTCCCTCTCAGCATTGAATAAGTTTTTCAAGCATCACCTTTTTTATAATTAAAGTTGATCTCTTATCCTTTGCTTTGACAGCTGACAGAAACAAGTAACCATTGTCCCCTTTTCTAAAAATACACGAAAACTTGTTACAGTGTTGTGTCAGTCTTCTTTTTCTGGTCTACTAAGAACTATTTTTAAATGCTTTCTTCATAGAATGTTGCTACTGAGATGTTTTGAAATCATGCAAGATTCTCCAAAGTGTCTTCACACAAGTGTGTGTCATTTGTTTCATCCCCCACACCCTAGAAGGAATCTTACTAGCACCAAGCAAAGCATACCAGACACCGCTCCACATACAAATGCTGTGAATTAACAGATCCAAAACAAAACGTACGCCACTACTGACATTTAGTCTCTGCTCCATGTAAGTCAGTGCTTCTCCGATACATGGCTGCTTATCTAAGTATTCTGTATTTCCTTCTGAAGTACAGAATTTCACAGAATAGTCTATTGATATTTTTTTAAACTAAAAAAAAACAACAAACAACCCAAAAACCCCCACAAATTCAGTTTTAACCATGTCCTTCAAAGCACTCAAAACATCCTGCGGCTTGGTTTCCTCCACAGTCTTATGAACACGTAAGCTATTGTGTAAATAACAAGACCCAATAAAGACTTCGTCTGAAATACCCTCCCAAAATGAACACAGAACAACTGGGAGTTTTAAACACATTCTGGTGAATATATCTAGACCATACTAGAATTACTTTCTCAAATAAAGAAATCTTGATGTTTGTCAAATATGAATCCCACCGAAGGAATGTAAGCTACTCTTTCTTACATGTAAGCGTAATCCTCTGTTCCAGAGCCCTTCCTCAGCATGAATGTGGACTCACTGATCCTTGCCTCCTTGTGCTGTTCTTTGTTGGTATTAAGATCTGTAAGACTTCCAGGAGCTCCCAATATAAATTTTTAAAAGATAAGTGTCAACAGTTAAAAGATTACTTTAGTTTGCTCTTAGTATGAAATCTCAGGAACTGATTTTAATTGCTTGCCGGAAGTTCATGTCTTTAAATTGCAGAGAAGTAATGTGTCTTTTTTAATTTCTCTTCATGGAGTATGAACAGAAAATGTAATGCACAGCAAGAGAAAAAAAGTTACATATATCCCATAGACCAAAACAAATCATGAACAAAAAAAACAATTTGCCAATTAATTATGAAGGAGAATAGCAACCCTTTTTATTGGCAGCAGTAGGCTTTAATTGTGTAAATTAGCATGGCAATTTGATACAGATACATTTTGCCAAGTTTTACAATACTGAACAACATTGTAATCTTTCATTCAGCTTTAAAATGATAGGGAAGCTATACGAAAAAATACCACAGCCCTTGCTTAAGACTTTTCACTTAAAAAACAAAAAGTAGTTAATAATGGGCTGAGTCAATGCAAAAGACAAGTGCCGTTAAGGGATTCTTCTATTTCATGTACTGCATTTGACAAGAAAGTTACTTTAGACACATTCGGGCCCAACTTAAAAATATTGACAAACAATGAAAGTGTGCAGATACTCTGGCCAGCAGCAAGTTTTACACATCAATGATGCAATATTAAATTATCTCTTTCTTTAAAAGGCACATTTCTGTAGATCATTGTAAAATTCAGCTTCTGTGGTTCATCAATATAGAATGTAGAAGCACTCAGTAAAACAATTATTTTACTGTGCTTGTGCTTTAACAACACAGCTGTATTGGAAGACTCCACCCCACAAAACATACAGTGAAGCTATCAAGGTACGGGGCATAACCTGAAGATGAATGACTAACAAGTGGGAGATGACATTTTAACAAGGACTCATTCAAGTCAGCCATTAAGTCTAAGAATATGTCCTGTGCTGGGGTTATTATTGCTGTTGCAGGTAAGATGAAGAGTTAAAAAAACAACAAACCCTCCAAAACCCCTGAACAAAACAAACAAAAAAAATCAAACAAAACCAAAATACTCCAAACAGTAATTTATCAGTGGTATACATAAGAATTGAAACTGCAAGTTATTCCCAGAAAATACCTTATCTATTAACCAGTTTTTAGATCACCTCTCAAAATTTATAAACAATGTAACTAGTAAAATTGATAATGAAATTGGTATGCGGGTTTTAGTTCTCAAACTGACAAACCTGACATCTAAAAATCCAATTCACTCCAAAAAACCTGCTTTGTAAGTACATCGTATTAATATTTGTAACATTAGTTGCTAGTTCAAATCAGAGCTTAAAAGGGACTGCTGCTGTTTCATTATTCAAACCCATCATTTGTACTCAAGTCCCGTGATTCTCCATGGTCTAAGACAAAGAAATCTTCTTTTTTCAAGCCATATCTTTCAAGAGCTTCGTTCAGTTTAACTGGAGGATCCAAGTAATACTGAAAAAATAAGAATATGAGGGAAAATATACCATTGCAGTATTTTGGAAAGAAAAGAACATCACTGCTCTAAAAAAGAAATGGTTTACAGTTTAAACATTATGTAAAAAAGGGGGAATATATTTGTCAAATTAAAATGTTTGGCTTCATTTTCAGGTTTTAAACCATAGGAATGCTGATTTACAGCTGTAGAGTAACTAGCAATGCACAAGCTACCATCCAAAAGTCAGACTTCTTAAATGTATTGAGCTGGATCTCAGAAGCAGAAATAAATATCCGTATTGCCGGCCCCGAGGAGGAAGCGTGAGCGGGTCAGCAGGTGGCGCTTCCTCTCATTTCGTAAAACAAAGTAGTCAGCTTTAGTGTTTAAAAACTAGTGCATTTCAGTGAGGGCCCCCTGAACTTACTAAATTTTATTCGTTGCGATTCAGAAAAAGCATCACAAAGGAGAAATCATCCAATTTTTTTGTGCTTCTAAATACACAACAGCATTTGTACTGTGGGCACTAGTGACAGACTAGCTTATTACAAGCACTGTGGATAGAAAATGTTATATCAAAGTTAAAAACATGGCATATCAAGTGAACGTAGCTAACACCATCAGGACTGAGTTATAAGATAAAGGGGTGCAACTGATGCAGAGATAAAGTTGAGAATCAGCTACCAGACAAGGTGTATCAAAGTAGATGTAGATTCCCCTTTCACTGCATTTTTAGTCACTGTTAAGGTATCTGGGTGGCCTCCTTATGAGAGCTGGGGACTCAGAGTAGGGATGGATTAAAAAATAATAATTAAAAATTAGCAACTCAGAATAACTCTGTTTTTCATATTCTTCCTGGTATCTAACTAGGAATCAACTATTAAAATACGACTCAATATTACTAGACAGATGTGATTAAGAAATACTGTATTGTCCTACAGGCCTACAAGTCTTCCTGTCTCCAAGTGATGCACTGTTGAGTTTACTTTTACATTGCATCAGATATCCTCAATATTCGTTTCAATAACTCTGTACTTCCACATTAATCTTAACCATGGAAACATTTTATGTAATTGGTTATGAAAAGATAAGCATTGTTTTAACTGCAGTACATGTAGTAACAACTTTTCATGCATCCAAAGTTTGCATTTTAAGTATACATTAACAGATATGTAAGTTAAACTGCAAGAGCAAAGCTTCATTAATGACTGTGCACTCAGGAAATGTGGACTCAGGTGCAGTGTTGACATTTACCTCATTTGCTAAAGCAAACGTCCCCCAGTGAATTGCTACAGACTTCTTTGCTTGAACATCAATATGGATTCTTACTGCTTCCTCAGGATCCACATGCTGGTATTTCATAAACCACCTACCAAAACACAAAGTAAATGTTTGTGTCACCTAATGCAGTGCAAGATTTCTTCTTTATTCACATTGGGTAAGTTGCAAAGAATTAAAAAAAACAAAACAAAAACCAAAACAACAAGCCACCAAACTCTCACCTAATAAAAAAAAATATGTAGCAAGTATGTCTGAAGAACATATGGAGCACTAAAAACCAACAAACTGGAATATACCAACATACCCACAAAATAGCAGTATTCGTGCATTTCAGTGCCCTTTTCAAACTTCTTTTTCTTATCCATATTTTTAGTAGTATAAGGACATATAACTGGTGCCTTGAGGCATTAAAGCCACAGATTTAAATCCATGCCTGTAAAAATTTCATGCTAGGAGCGCACACAAGAAGTGTATGCTTCAGAAAATAGCCTAAGGGTGCAGTGGTAAAGCAGAAGAGAGAACCTGGCAATTCTTGGAGATTTTTACTAGATTTTTACCACATTATTCTGATTCCTATCTTCCCTTCCCAGCCTACACATGCATTGCTTCCAGCATTATGTGTCAGCATTACCAGCTAAAACTTTAGATACTCCATCATAACTCAGATACAGATGCCTACACAAACAGATCTTTCACACTCTATAAAGGAGTCATCTGTATCTCCAGATAAGTTGCAAAAACAGTGTGAAGACTGAAGCAAAAGAAAAAATGCAGCAAATTGCATGCATCTAAACAGGCTGGATTCAGTGATGCTATTTCAGAAAAAAAGTCACTAATTCATTCCAGATTTTTACTCAACATTTTTCATGGAAGAAGGTCAGTTGATTCACTCTTGCTGTGCTTAAGACTAATGAAAAAGCTCTCCAAGAACAGCACACATAGACATCCTAGACATTTCAGCTCCATCTTCTTTGCCTCAGCAATGTCCTTCTTTTGGCTCTATATTCTATTGTATATTCTTAATAAAATATTTCCTACAGCTTTGACTTCTAAGTGTATTTTTTTTGTCATCTGCCTATATCATTTCATTTATGTATTTTGATCAAACTTTGTTTTTCATACCTTGGCTCATAAGCTCCAATGGGGATGGCTGCAAGATCAAAAGGTCCAAACCTTTTACCTATCTGTTCAAAACCAACACAATATCCAGTATCTCCTGCAAAGAAAAACCTATTCCAAGGTCCCAAGACAGACCAGCTGCCCCAGAGAACCTTGTTGTCATCTGTCGCAGTCCTTTTGCACCAATGTTGAGAAGGAGTGAAGACAAAAGTTACCGCATCGTGACCAGGGACGCAGTTCTCTTCCCACCAATCCAGTTCAATCACATTCTCACAACCACATCTCTGCATCCAGTCCAAGAGCCCCAGCGGCACAAACCAGCGCAGCTCACTCCCAAAGCGTTCGTTTAAACTCATTACGGTGTTGTAGTCCAAATGATCATAATGGTTGTGGCTGATCATGACTGCATCTATTTTGGGGAGCTGCTCTACTGTGCACGGAGGTCCTCGGAAGCGCTTGGGACCCATCAGCTGAGTAGGGGAAGCTCGCTGGCTGAAGATGGGGTCAGTAAGAAACGTAAGTTCATCCATTTCCACCATAACTGAGGCATGTCCCAGCCACGTGACTCGCATTCCAGTTCCTGTCTTCCCAGCGAGTTCTGGCTTTTGAACAAAGTAAGGTTTTAATACAGGAAGCTCTTTATCAAGTTCCTAGCAAAAAAATACAATATGTATGAGAGATTTCAGAATGTACTTGGCCACGGAACAAAAACTGTATACAAGGCACAAATCATTAGAGTCAAGACTTGCATTTTGTTTACATTTTTAGGCAACCAAAGAACTGCAACACAAAACAGATGCCTTTTTAATTACCATTTTCCCAGCTACTTCCTCCTAATTTCCTCTTAGGTTTTCATAACATTGTCACTTCTCTGGCAAGAGAGAGAAGAGAGCTTGAGAGTATCCCATCACACCAGCAGACCTAGTAAGAGTCTGAAAGCATTGCAGTGAGAGCACTGCAAGGCACTAACAACATCCTGGGAAAGACTTTGCAATCCATTGGCCTTCCTGACCTGGAAATGAATACGTACACACCCACATATATATATTTATATATATACACACACACACACAAATATACACATATACATATATACACACTGCTACTGTAACAAATGCTCAAGTTTAGCTTGTGCAATTAAATGATGGATCCTTTAAGTCCTAGCACAAGTAACAAGCCCATGGATGAAAGAGAATGCAAAGCTCCCAACAGCATTCTGCCAAAGCTCTGTTCTGTGAGCCTTTAGCAGGCTGTCTCTCTCCAGTATGTATAGAAGCAGCACGTGGAGGTTAACTTCACTTGGCTAATGTTAGCTTTTACAATCGTCTCTTTCCATCCTGCCAATAATTCAATGAACATTCATAAAACACAAACTAAAACTCAGAATTCATTTTTAAAACAGTTCTTTAGGCACTTGGCTATTCTTCTCACAATGTTTTATTGAAGCCTTCTAGGTAATTAAAGTTTAATTATTGCTGAATAAATCACAGAACGTTAGGGATTGGAAGGGACCTCAAAAGATCATCACTATACTGTTCTCTCTGTACGTCCATGATGCAGTCCCATGAATTACTTAAATCAACCTAAATCCATATTCCTTTGTAACAAAGTTATGGAAACCTTCTCCCCGACCTGCTCTCTTATTCCAGCCTCAATGCTTACACAGCCCCTACTCAAGTCTGACAGATCAAAGAACTGATCCAGCTGAACATTAATCCAGAGGAGGAAAATAGACAGCTTTCAGCTTGATCAGCTTCCAAATTTGTCTCTATGTGCAGCCTCAAGAAGACAGCTGGCACAAAGGAGGCCATGGCTGTACATTATCTACTGAAACTCATCGTCAAACCACTGCTCATTCTCTCATTTTGAACAGGAGTTATGTTCTTCACTGCAGTTTGGTTGAGATGCTTATGCTGAAGATTTATTTGCAATAAATAAAGAGTTTTCCTATTTAAAAAAACTAATAAACAAAAAGTCTTCTTGGGGCTCCCGAGCATCTCCAGCTCTGCTACAGTGTGCTAAGGCTCTCCTCACATTACTTGAGAAGGATTTTCCTCTGCTAGGCACCTTCTACAGACTCCTGGCGCTCTTCTCTCCCTGATAATCGCAGATATTCCAGCACTTCAGGTTCCTAGGCAGAGTCTCCCTACCATGGTTGCTGCTCTCATTCTCTCTAGGTGTAGGACAGATTAGTGCGATCAGTGAGCTTACACAGAGCTAACCTCCTGCTCCCTTAAAAGCCCAGCTGATGCTGTGACAGTTTACGAGTCCAGCATTTCCCCTGCTAAAACAGTTCTGACAGCTTCAGGAAAGTTACTTTCTCCATAGTATTTTATTGATTTGGAGGGCATATGCTGGAAAAAAACAAACACATACCCTCCTGCAATCCTACTTTAAGTAATAAAATATTAATGGAACTGCTTTTTCTGAGAGCTAATGGACAAGACATGTCTACTGCAAGTTTCATTCCTGTCTCCAGGAACAAGAAATGGATAACTTTCTATAAAGATGACTATAAGGTTAGTACAATACAATTACTTAATTCATACTAGAATAAACAAAGTATGAGCATTAGACCGAGACAAACTGCTGCTTCTCCAAGAAACAAACATCACTTTCTTATCTCTATTTCTAAGTACATGGGAATGACACTGACGGGAGAAATCTGAACCACAGAGAGCGTTAGATTGTGACACTTGGATTTAAAAAAAAGTGGAAGATCCACAAAACTAACATAATACTCAAAAATTAGGACAACCCACCAATTTACACATGGTCAAGTCAACAAATCTGATCATATCAAGGAAATTAAACTCCGATACAGAATTTAATAATTATTTGCAATTCCGGTCATTAAGTACATTTTTTAATAGAAAATGTTCTTTTTAAGTAGTTGTTTTTAAAGGTAGACTACAAATTATTCCGAGAACTCTAAATGAATCCACTTTACTTTTGCTGACATTTGACACAAACTAGTTTTTAAAATTAGTATCATGCAAGATTACCAAACAATACTAAACGGATTAAGAACAGACTAATTGGCAGATGTGAACAACAAGTTCTTAACTGAGACTTAAACACATTGTACTGGTTGTGGCTGGGATAGAGTTAATTTTCTTCCTAGTAGCTCAACATGTACAGTGCCATGTTTTGGATTTGTGACCAGAACAGTCCAGATGGCAGACTGATGTTTTAGCTATTGCCGAACAGTGCTTGCACAGCGTTAAAGGCAGTAGGCTGAGGGTGCACAAGAAGTTGGGAGGGGACCCAGCTGGGACAGCTGACCTCAGCTGACCAAAGGGGTGTCCCATACCATATGATGTCGTGCTCGGCAATAAAAGTGGCAGGAAGAAGGAGGAAGGGAGGACATTTGTAGTTATGGCCACAGGATAAAACAGCATAATGAATGAAATACATAATCTCATGGAACCTTGATCCTGCTGTACTTCTTGTTCTCTGTCAGACTAACCAGAAGCATATTAATACTACAAGAATTGTAACTGATCTTTGAAATATGGCATTAATGTCAAATCAGCTACCAACAGAAGCAAAATGTGCCTAATGCTGTCTTATCTTCATCACTGGAGTAATGCAAAAATTCCTCCTGCTGTGCCCCTTCCCCCTCCCATGTTGTTCTTTCCTTCCTAATGCAAAGCAAGAAGAAACACATGACAGGCTTTGGTAAGACTTGCTAATTAGCTTAGGATTTTTGGCTCTTAGCGTATACTGGAATACCACTGGATTTTACAGAAATTAGAACAATCTAAATTGTTGATCCAACAACTAATAATTAAAAATACTCCCAACAGCACTGAGAACAGTTTTTAATAAAGCCTGTAATGAAAATACCAGAAGTCTACGCATTCTGGATAACGATATAGACTTGTTATAAAGGCATGATTATAATACATAGAGCTTTTACACAGTGAGGTACATTTCCTGGCTAATATGTTTTGAGGTTTTTTTACATATGCAAAGCACTTGGTACAGATAAAGTGACCTTGCCCAGCATAGCATGGTATCACCAGGCACTTTCAATGTTGAAAATGAAGTTAGGAGTCTGCTCAGAGACATGCTATCTAGCAGTGCTAAATAAAGTATGGAGCCCTTTGTTTGAATTTTAAACAAGCTCAAAAATGCTTTACAAGTTCCTTTAGGTGTGGAGCAAACAGCTGGAAGAAGCATCAAAAAGGCTGAGGACTCAAGAAGTGCATTTCATTGATCCCTATCTAGGTTTTTCTATTTCTGATTTACTTTCTTCAGCTCCTGAATAATTGCAGACATTTAATTAAAAAATTTAATATGCAAAGCAATAAAATTAGTCCAAAAATTAATCCCAACTGGGTCAGAGAGACAGCTTTACAACTGGCACAGTGTAGACTTCTTTGTAATCATCCTTTATTGCAGGGATAATCTGTAAATTAAAGGGGAGTGCTGCAGTTCTCCACTGCCACAGCTCTATATTCTGCACTCTAGTACACCTTGGCACTGCCTTCTAGTTACTACCAGGTAACTCCAGTTACTACCCAGGTTTCTGACTGGTGCTGGCAAGATACAAAGCCCTACTGTACACAGATGGAATAGGGCAGCAGTCAAAGGCTACTGAAAACACCAGGGTGTGAATTTTATGCAAACATGGCCAAAATATCATAATGCAGCACACTGCCTTGAACACTGTGCACACTGAGGCACAACCACCATTACTACTAGAAGGTGCAGATAACATCTAGAAGCAGGACACTGTTGGAAGCAATCCCAAGACTGAAATAAGTTTGTTGTGCTTCTTTCTGAGGTAAAATAATTATCATTATAGAATAACTACACCCAAGACTATTTCTCCCTTAAACATGTTCTGTGCCACATATTCTTAAAGAAATTGTCAACCTTCTGACCATCACGTGTTAATAAGTAACATGGCTTTCCTGTCCACAAAGCTGATCAAATTCCTCTCTTCACAGGTAATTCACATAAGATAATGAAAAGTGTAAGCACTTTGCTAAACACTGACTGTGAGATTTATAGCTTATGCAATAAGCAATGCTCCAAGAACAAATAATGGTGTTTCCCAGTAAACTGGCACTGCATCTTTAGTGTTTCAGCACAAATACTTGCTCAGGTTAGTTTTAACATAAGCAATTTTTTCCTCCTGGTGTATTGAAACAGAAAAACATAGATTTGCATACACTTCCATAAGTAAATGGCAGCAACTACTACATTTTTATGAAACAGATATAACATATGTAGTAAATGGCAGTCTGGGCAAAAAACAAAAAGGCAAAATTTTTAAAATTAGATATACCACAGATATTTTATCCAATGTGAACATATTAGTAGTATGATTCATAACGCAACACCTCTTAAAAATGACACAGTGTAACTGTAGTTTATGACTGAGCTAGGGGACCATTTTTGTTGTTTTTGTAAATATAAACCAAGCTGGATAAATCAGAGGGTGTGGAACTAGGACAGAGGAAAAAAAAAAGAGAGGCAAAAACTGTTAACCTACCTTTTGAAAAGAATAAAGTGATGCTAAAATCAGAAAAAGAACACTTAGAATAGTCTCCAAAAGATGCCTAGTAAGTATTTGTTACAAACTGCTCTATGACATTCACCAGAGCAGAGGTAAAAGCAGCCTAAATCAAGAACAGAAAACACGCAAGTATTTACCTGCTTTGAGCATGGCACGTTGCTGTTATTTTTTTCCATGAGGGACCACTTCAAGATATTTGGCAAAGTTGGCGATTTCCATGTTGGCCACGGGTTGACAAATCTCCCATCTTTGCCCCTCTTTGACTTAGTTACATCTTCTTCTAACCTGTAGTCCAGCCTGAAGCTTTTCCTGGAGGTCCTGGAAGAGTCGCTGCCCCTGGAACCTCGACCCGAATTCTGGCGTTTCCTCACTGCTTCTTTAGGGTACTGGTTACTTGCAGTCAAAGGCTGGTCTTCATCCACTTTGCTATCCATATCTTTTTGAGAAGAACTAAAATAAATTTTAAATTAATCAATCTTTTCTGAGACTAACATCGGCATTCGTAAGACTGCATGTTCTCACACACATCAGAAACAAGCCTGCCCTTCTCATTTTATGATCTACTGTATTTTTTCCCCGACAAAATATGCTTTTAAAACAGTTGCTATTACACCAAAGACTTCAAAAACATGCTGTGGCAAGCAGACGTGAGATCTCTCTGTAGTTGAGGCAGAATTTTACTGCCGGGTATGCACAGCTCCAGATACTAACACTATTATCTACCAACTGCTAGAGCGAGGGGGAGGGGTTCCTTAATTTACGCTTTGCAAGAACAGCAAGTTCCATCTGAAACTTAGGACATTTAGTGCCTGATGTAGTACAATCCTGCAAACCTGTCAATGAGGCACTGGGACTACACAAGACCTTAGGATTTGCCGGTATAGGGACTTTATTTTGTCGTAAGAGCAGCAACCTCATGTAGCATCAATAATACATAACTTCTAGCGACAAGATGCACAAGCTGTTCGGTCGTATTTCCTATTCTGTCTAAAGCAAAGTGTATTGTAATAACAGTCAAAGTAACTGTTTCAAATACAATTTTGATACAAATGTAACTGAATTGGGTAGTGAAAGGCCACGGAAAATTGGACTATCTCAAATAAATCATGGCTGCAATGTCTGTAATTTAATTCCTTTGCGAAATGTAAAAAAAGTGAGAAAATAACTGAGAAAAGCTTATTTCTATAAAGTCACAATTCTGGGGCATTTCTTCGAAAACTGCAAGCTCAGCAGCCAGTCTCTTATTCCAAACTGCACTTCAGTGTTGCAGAGTTGAGGAATATGGAGACCCATTGATCTCATTATCGCCAAGGCAGAAAACACAAATATCCCTGTTCAATTTCAAAAGTTGCTGAAGCAATTCAGCTGAAGCTAAACACAAAATTTCAGTTGAAAGTAAATATATTGTCCTGACCTTTTTTTTTTTTTAAACAGATTGCTATTTTAAAGAATGCACAGCTTTCTGGGACTTACAAACTCTACCTGAGAAAAACCAGAAGATGACAAGTAATGAACAGACAGGACGATATATTGCTTAGATGCAGGAATAATTGTTAATAACAAATTGTGAAGTCTGTCCTGTAGAAAACTCTCACCACATGTTTTAGACTATCTACTATTTCATTAACTCAGATACTCAGACTTTACCTGCACACTCGTATGAGCAGCTCTGGGCTGATGTACCAAAGCCAGTCAACTCAAAACATTTCCAGAGAACAGAATTAAACCCCACAGTTTTCTTAGAAATTATTTCCTTATTGAGATATTTTCTAAGTTGCTGGGTATGCATATCTCACTGTGCCCCTCATAAGTTCATAACTACAGAGAACAAAAAATACTGTCACTGCAACATTACAGCTAAGATTTTACACACATAGAACAAAAGAAGTGTTACCAAATTCAACCCAAATGCATTCACTGGCGATGCTCTAACTTCAAATGCAGAGCCTGTCCCTACTGTTTCAGCAGCAATCGATTACTAAAAGGAAAGTGTGATGTTGGCTGCAAAGATATGGCAATTGATAAATATTGTGAAATTTTCTTAACAAAATAACCATTATTTTGCCAGACAGTAGAGATAAAATATGAACACATCAAAATTCCCTTCTGATAAAGAAGCACAAACAATATTCAGAAAACATGGCTGACAGAAGTTTTGTATACCTTTTGATACCTTTTTTTGATACTTTTGGTACCTTTGCTCATAATCTTGGTTTAATGCAATTGCTTTGTATTCTAGTTTCCCTGGAGTTTTACTGAAACTACTCCATTTATGTATTTTCTGTTTAGCAACACTATACCAGATCTGCATCATCATTTTCATTTAAGTGTTGATACTGCCAGGCTTTTTTCTCTATTCCACTAAACATTTACTAGACTCAGCCTTCAATGAACAGCCGCCCAACTCGCTCTGTACCATTTTAAGCAGACATAAACAGTAACAAAAAGCATCAGTGCCACAAAAAGGCAGGCAGAATACACAAAAAAATTGTAAGGGATATTTTAACTGTTATTTTAACTTAAGAGGGATTGATTTTTTTGGTTGGTTGGGGTTTTTTTTGGCATTCCTCAAAGAGCGTTTTCAATTCTAAGGCATCTTATTAATTTAGCAAAGCACGCAGACACAGCATAAACCATCTACTCTTCTAGAGAGCATCATGCACACAAATCACAAAAGTTTAATCAGATAGGTACTTAATTTCAGGAAATTCTTCTGTTAACATCTCAGATGTCTGATTTTTAAATATATATAACTACCATAATTGTTGTTCCTACAAGACATTTTATATTAGAGACCAGAGTGCCTAAGGTTTTATTTTTAAGCTTCTGTTTATCTATTCATTCATCTTTAACATAGGTGAATTCTACTTTCACTTAAATTTTCATATAAACCTTTGATCTTATTCTGAAAGTATAAACCTCTAGGGGAAGTAGGGATCAACTATGCTGATTAAACAAAGACAATGCCAAAACATTTAAGGCACTGCAGGTATCTGTCTGCCAACATATTTTCCACATGATGCACACACATTACTTTCATTAGTATTCCATAAGCAACTGAAGGGATAAAAGACCTCAGAGCTCACAGAATACTTTAAACCCTTTTACATGCATAAAAAAGGGACACATTTACAAACAATTAACTGACAAAGTATTCCTGATGAACTGTAGATTCCTTTGAAGAATCAATCTTGCCAGTTCATTTCTGTTTCACTTAAACTGGTAAAATATATCCTAGAACATTCATGGAATACAGTAAAAGTAATCTAATTTTTCTTATTAAAAGAGATAGATTAACATTTCTTGAAAGCCAGCAATTGTTAGCTTAAAATAAAACTCAACCAGTTATTAGTCCAAAGAGATTTTTACCCTTTTGCAAAAGAAAGTCTCTACAGACAAGGAGATTTGGCAGGTATACTTTAAATATTAGAAAATACCCAATCAAAAACAAGCTGGTTTTTCATCCAGCTTTCCTAAATTTTTCCTCAAGAAAAATAATAGTTTGGAACTTGAGAAATGAATTTAAGCACTGGATTGCCAGCCAAATTATGAGACACCAAAATCAAACTGGAGTAGAGTTGTGCTCACTTTCCGGGATAAGGGGGAAGGTGTCATGTCCTTTGTGAATATTTTACTATAAGGTTCCACAAGAAATCTTGTATTTTCCACACTTTTAAACAAAGAAGGAAACTACTCTTCTACTTCAAAGCATTAAACTGCTATGTTAAAAAATGGAACCCATCCTTCAGGATGAGTTGACTTAGCCCCATTTGTAAGAGAGGCTCAGGGCAGGACGCAACGCAACTGCCACCCTTGCCATGCTCAGAGGTGCTTTGCTGTTTCAACGGAATTTGGAAAAGGCAACAGACCAAGACATACAAACTACTAGAGGAGACCACCGGTCATGGCAGAAGGCCCTCTAGACAGAGGGGAAGGACACCACCGTCTGATGAAGGAAGATGAAGCCTAACGTGAATCAAAACACAGAGCTCACGTAACTGGTTTTTCAGCACCAAATACTAAGAGGCCTCTGGTAACCCACAGAGCATGAGAGAAGTTGTAGGTCAGGCAGGACATGGCATGGAAACCCCACATCTTACATCCTGGTAAAGAGGCTTCCACCTGTAAACATGATGCAGCCCTCAGGACAACAGGTTTGGGGTCAACTGTTTATTTTAGCATTGCTTATATAACTGAAAACTTGGATACACACATTTTGGCTTTGAGTTTTCTGTTTATTTAGGAAAATAATTAAAAGTTTAACTAAATATTTTAAATCTTTGTTTCAAAAGAACCTTGGAAACAGTATACATTAATATTACAAGAAACACTCTGAATTTTTTTTCCTTTTTAAATGGTCTTTTAAACACAGCAGAACTTCAAGCCAAATAAAATTATTTTAAGAAGAAATGCATTGACAAAAAATCTACTGTGAGTCTTCACCTTTTCTATCCAATCTCCTCTAACATCAACCACTCCTTAACTGAAATGGATGTAGTTCCCCCTAGTAAGCATATAGCTATGCACAGACACGCTACTACCCATGAAGTCTGCCAGAACAGATTTATCCTTCTTTTCTACAAAGAAATGTGGTGCTCATTTAACAAATCCATGAGCCAGAAAGTTTAGGAAATACTTAGTATGAAACTATGGTTTACTGGGAACCCAACAACATCCACAAAGCCTTACACTTACCTTGCAAACATACCACAGCTTTCCAAATATCCTTAATTTTCTCTAATTTTGAAGCAACAAGTCTGGCTCATTTCTAACGGCTGTCTCTCTGTATAGACTACATCCAGAACTGGGCTGCACTACACATCACCTAAAAGGGCCAGCACAATTCCTAGCAAACTCACACCACTGTAGCCTTATCAAAGTAGGAATCTGATCTTTCTGCAAGCCATATACTGCTACACAATTCAGAAGTTTTTCTTCCAACATACATATTTTTATGACTGCAAAAAGAACACTTTTTGGTTTCAAACTAAAAAAACAAAACAAGCCAGGATTTCAGCTAAAAGGTAAGGCATTTGCAAACACGAGGAAGCATATAAGCAATTTTCTGGAAAAAGAAAAGGAAAAAAAAAAAAGACTTGCACACTTAACTATCAAATGACTGCCAGCTAACTTTTGGCTGTGCTTTTATTTTTCCTTCAGGTCTGAAGTTGTCTGCTTTAATTAATGAACAGTTTGAGACTGGAAAATTCTGAATGCATTTAAACTTTTATCGTGCGGTACTTCAGGCTGTTCATCATACCGCTGTAGCCTTATAAAAGTGAGAACCTGAGCTTTCTGCAAGCCATGTAATGCTACACAACTCAGAAGTTTTCTTTCATTACACATATTTTTTATGACTGCAACAGCCACTATTCCAGGTACTCTTGGTCTTACAATTTTATACATAGATCATCTCTCAAGCTTGCATCAGGCTGATCTACAAA